ACCGCCATATTATCAGCTCCGAAGCAGATGTTAATGCTATATGTGGGCAAGCATTAGATGGTACGCCCTTAAAATCTGGAAATGTAATGCAGTTGGATGAGCATAAAAATACTTGATACCAATTTGGTTGAATTGCAGATATTTCTGAAGACAAGCCTTCCTCAAGTAATTCAAACTCACTCAATAAAAGTGAAGTTCAGCCACTGGAGCACACCCCTAAGGGCTCTTCCCTGCTTCACCTAGCCTGCCAAAGTGCTGATATTGGCATGGTGGAGCTACTTTTACAGTACGGTGCAAACGTAAACACTTCTGATTTAAATGGTCAAACACCACTGCATTGTTCCGTTATCAGAGGCAATACTTCTATTGCAAAGATGCTTCTTATGAGGTCAGCCTTTGTTTGTAAATCATGTTTTAAATCTGTTTTATATTGTGTTCTTTATTATTCTTTTTCATAATTATAAAAGGCTTCCCGTTGTTCCACCTATTTAATTGCAGGGGAGCTGATCCTCATGCCATTGACAGAGAAGGTAAAACACCAAGTGAGCTTGTATCAGAATCAGCCTCCAATGACAAGATGCTTGCTCTTTTAACAAACTCAGGCAGATGATGGTTTAAGATGGAAACTTGATTGCATAATTATGAATACCAGAAGAGACTGAAAATATGGGAATTAATATCCCTATGGTATCGTAGGAAGAGCCAAAATGTATTTGGATTAACAGAGCTTGCAGGTTTGTTTGCTGCGCCAGACCGGCTTATCTCTTCAATAAATGTAGGTCAGTTTAGTTTTGTGAGTTGAGGTAAATAGAGGCAGTTTGATTTGCTTTGTATCTGTTTATGTACTTTTTTTGTTCTATATGATTTGATTTTCTGTACAGAACTTTAGGAAGTTTTAGCAGAATATTTTGTTGGTGTATGTCGATCAGTTTAGTTTTGTGGGTGGAGATAAACTTAGGCAATTTGACTTGCTTTGTATCAGTACGTACTTTTTAAGTTCTATTCGTTTTGCTATCCTGTACAGAATTTTTGGGAGATCATTAGCAAATTATTTTGTCAGTGTATATAAGATTTCAAATTATTTTGTAATTTTAAAATGGGGGATTTATAGTTGACCATTTAATTTAAATTGCCCGTATAAAATGTGCGAAAAATAAAACATAAGAGGGGATGTGATGGTTTTTTATTATAGTTTGAACAAAATATTGTCATAATGAATTTTTTTCTTTTTTTTTCTTTTCATTTTTTGAATTTAACAAGAGCATCACATCACAAGGGTTTAACACAGCAATAGAAAAATAAGGACAGATTTATTTGATTCGATGACATTTGTCCATCTAACAATCACCACATGCCCTACAGCCCTAGTCAATCAAATCTACATGCATTCCATACTATAGAAGAGCGCTTGCTACTCATTACAAGTTACAAGGCATGAACTATGACGTTAGAAACAAATGAGCATTAAGAAGCAGAGTGTTCTAGCATGAAAATATCAGCCAACCAGGTGGTTTCCTTCACAATCAAAAATTGCGAGGGACTCGGGCTCGGCCGCTGACCGCTGACGTATAGATCTCTTAACTCCACCTCCACCTCTCATCATTGCTACCTAGTCTTGCTTCGTCACCCATCTCCATATCATCGGAATCAACCAACTACACCGTCTTTAAGAATATTGACTACTTTGTATCCTCCCCTGTTGTCCCTTCCCCATCCTCTTTACATAAATGTCTGTTGACAGAAAGTAGTTGGATCAAATTTTCAAAGGATGTAAAAACTAAATAAAAAGAAACTTTCCAAGCCAATCTGCAGTAAATTATATTATTGTTTTCTGTTTTCTTTTGTCTTGGGCAAGTACGTAACAAAATATCAATTTTCAATGATATCAAGTGGAACAGAGAAAAAAGTTACCTTTCTAAGCATTGAATCCACCATTTTTGTTTAAGAAGTACTCAATCACTGGTTCACAATGAGGAAGGTGCTCATGGCAAAAGCAAAGCTTTTCCACCACCACAACTTGCTAAGCCCACCCTTCTCAGGCCAGCATTTGGATTTGTTTTCACCGGAGCCAGGAATAGGAGAGAACCAGAAATTCTACCTCAATCAACTAGACAAGCGACTCCCAGTGTTCCTTGCTTCAACATATTCCAGAACTAGCCTCATTTCGGTCTTCATTTATTAAGTCACTTAAGCTAGTGGACGGTGAAACCCATCCAAAGCTAAGCATGCTCTCCAGAATCCTTGCTGCTTTCTCCACATTCCCTAATCTGTAAAACCCACGAACTAATGTGCTACATGTAGCAAGACTGAGCGCAAATCCTTGTTCTCCCATTTCATCAAGTGACTTCATCACTTCAGAAAATTCTTCCTTTTGGAATAGGTTAATTGTCAGTGCATCTACCACAATACTGTTCATGATTGTACCATTGACCAGAACTTCATCCACCAGCTTTAAACATTTTACCCAGTCGCCTTCTTTGCAATAAGCATCAACCATCATACCATAGTTAACTTCATCAGGCTTGAGTCCCCTTCCCATCATCTCCTCAAAAAGAGCAAACATCTTAAATCTGCTTCCTGTGATATTGTAGCCGTGTAAAAGTGAAGTATAGGTTACAATAGTTGGTGTCAGATTCCTTTTCTGCATTTCCAGAAAGAGCCGTTCTGATTCGTTCATCAATCCCTCTTTGCAGAGAGAAACAATCAAAATCGTGTAGGACACATGATTTGGTGTCACATGCTTATCCACCATATCTTCAAACAACCGAATAGCTTCCATCATCTTCCCTAATTTGCAGAAGCCATTAATCAATGCATTGAAAGAAGCAGTAGCAGCAAAGCCCTTCTCCACCATATCCTCGAATAAAGACAGGGCCTTCTCCGTATCACATGCCTTGCAGCACCCATCAATGAGGGTGCAGTAGATGAAACTATCAGTAGGAAACCCATGTAGTAGCATCTCATCTAATAATCGAAATGCCTCGGTTAATTTTCCAGCTTTGCTGTATCCGCCCATCATTGTAGCATAAGTCACGGCATTAGGAGTCAAACCCTTTCCTGAGATTCCATCAAACAGTTCTCTGGCTTTATCAACGTCACCTGACTTGCACAGTCCATTAATCAAGGCGTTATAAGTAACAATGTTGGGATCGATGCCTCTCTGACACATCAGTTCAAGAAGTTGGAAAGCCTTATCTACATTTCCTTGCTTACAAAAGCCAGAAATGAGAGAGCTGTAAGTAAAAACATCTGGAACCAGATCCTTGCCAAGGAGCTCAGAGAAAATCCCCATTGCTTCTTGAAGTTTTCCATTCTTAGAGAGACCATGAATAATGACACTGTAAGTTTTGATGTCTGGGAGCACCCCTCGTCCAAGCATACACCTAAATGCTGAATATGCTTCTGTTAAGTTACCCTCTTTGCAGTGTCCTTCAATCAGGGCTGTGTAGATAACATCATTAGGAGCTATACCACAACCTAGCATCTCCTGGAAATACCTATTCGCAAGTTGCATTTCCCCCTCCTTACAGTGCCCATGAACAAAAGCTCCATAAGTATATGCATTAGGCTTTAATCCTCTCTCAACCATTTCCAAGAAGTAAGTCCTGGCTTCTTCCATTTTCCTGGCTTTGCACAGTCCAATTATAAGAGAATTGTAGCAAAAGACATCGGGCATGACCCCCTTTTCATTCATTCCGTTAAATAGTTTTATTGCCTCTTCAAATTTTCCTTCCTGAACATGACCTCTAATTACAGTTGTGTAGATAACAGCACCTGGTTTCAAACCCCTGGTAATCATTTCCTTCAAAACTTTATTAGCCCTTTGCAGATCTCCACACCGGCTTAGGCCATTGATTATCACTCCATAAGTGTACACATTGGGTACCAAGTTCCTCTTCTTCATTTCATTAAGTATCTCATAAGCCTTGACCATACTTTGCTCCCGACAATACCCATCAATTAAAAACTTAAATGTCTGGGCATTAGGTTTAATGCCCATAACATTCATCTCATTCAGGACAGCTTCTGCCTTCTCCATCGTACCATTTCTACAGACCCCAGCCAAAATTGCATTATATGTGGCATCGCACAACTTAACTCCTCTAGCAATCATCTCGCCTTTGGTTCTCAGGGCCTCTTCCATGTTACCTTCTTTTATGAACCCATCAATCAACGCAATGTAGCAGGTGTTTTCAGGATTCAAACCTATATCATACATGTCTTTCAATATCAATTTTGCTTCTTCTGATCTCTTATGTCTGCACAACCCATCAAGAAGCGCCGAATAAGTATACCTATCTGGAACCAACCCCTTCTCAACCATAGCCTTCTTTACCTCTAAGGCTTCATCAACACCCCCAGTTCTACACAACGCACCAATCACCACATTGTAGGTACTTAAATTTGGATTGCAGCCCTTCTCCTCCATCTCATGGAGACATCTCTTACCGTGGCCGGCATTCCCAGCCTTACAATGTGCATTGATCACATTGGTATAAGTATAAAAATCAGGGTTTACCTTAGCCTCTAACATCGCATCATACACCTTCCAGAACAACTCCAACCTATTACATTTCAACAAGTCCTTCAACAGAGAATTGCAGCAATCCAATCTTGGCAAAATCCCAACTTTCTTAACTGCCAAAAATGCATCAGCAGCCTCATTCAAGTGTCCCGCCATCTTGAAAACATTAATCAAAATCTCAAAAACCACTCTATCTGACCCATCAAACTCTCTAAAACACATGACAAGAGAATTCACAACTTCCAAAGGCGGCTTGCGGCTCTTAACCATTCTCTCTAGCACAGCATGAGCTTGCTCAAACAGCTTGGAATTGCATAAAGCAACAGCAAGAATCGAAAAAGAATGCAAATTTTGAGGAACACCCATGTGGGTATCAGTCCAAATGAAGAAACTGAGAAGGCGTTTGGGGTCACCAACCTGATGGTTTTGTTGCAGAACGGCTCGGACGACATGAGGGTTTAGCTTCTTGGGGAGGTCTGAGGAGTTCAAAGCGAAGTGCCAGTCGTTGTGTTTGAGAATGGTAGAGATTTCTCTCACGGTGTCCTCGTCCTGTTTACAGGTCTCTGATTGCGAGGTGCAATATTTGATTGAAATCACAAGTCTTGCTTTTGCAATACCAATTCGATTGTTTAGCTGAAATGCAAGGAGGTGTCCATGTGAAAATAAACCCATTTATTCTCTAATGCCCCAAACGGTGAGCTACCAAGCTATGGCGTCAGAAAAACACAAAAACATCTGACCAAAATGAAGTGTGTGTGTGTGTGTGTGAGAGAGAGAGAGAGAGAGAGAGAGAGAGAGAGCAAAATGAAATGTGAGAGAGAGAGTTGGGCTGGACTAGCTTAAAAGTTTGAAACTTTGAGGCCCAACCAAAACTTGAATGAAACCTCATTGCCCAATAGGGCCAAAAACCAATATGGCCATGTACTTTTTGAGCCCCAAATTTCACTTCTCCTCCTCATACGTGATGCGAATGGAGTTGGCTTCTGGGTTCCTTCTTCCTCGTTTGAACTGTTCCTGAGAAAAGTGACAGAAGCCATGAATTGGGTGAGGCAGAGAGTGTTGGTTTCTATTGGGAGGCAGATGCATACTTATGATGGGCCAAGTGAAAGCTTGAAGACAAAGATTGCCCAGTTGGGGAAAATGAGGAAGAGAAAAAGCTCAAAGAAAGATAAACAAACAGTGTTCGTTGAGGTTCCGGAGCCTATGACCTACCTAGACACAGCCACTATGCCCCAGATTCTCACTGCTGTTGGAATAGCCCTCTTCGCCAAGCTCCTCATGATGGTAAAATTAACTTAACTATTTATCCTTCACTATTTCGACAACCCCATTTGTTTATTTGCTCTCTATTTCCTAAATTTTGTTCCTTTATCCTAATTCTGAATAGAATTTGCAGTCTCATTGAAAATTCGAAACTTTTGCTATTCATATCTGTGTTTTGCACTCAGAGTTGTTCTGCCTATTGATGCTGCTTGTGTTTTGTAATAAA